AAATTAAATGTATATATTATTAAGATAATATATACATCTGATTTTATTTTTTTAAAAAGTTTATTTTGCTCCATTTTTGAAAAAGAGGGAGCGTGGGTGGCGAGCGGTTTTTATAAATTATCCTTATTTTCTGTTATTTGTCCCTGTCCTCCCCACCCCCTGCTGAAGCGAGAATAAGGGCAGGGACCTTGGCTCCTACCTATCGGTAACCCCCTTACCCATCCCTCCCCCGCCCTAATGCCCAGCATAGTGCCCTGCACACAGTAGGCGCTCAATAAATGTTCGTGGATGATGATGATGATGATGATGAAAAAAATGCAGCATCAACGGCAGCAGCAAGCGGACCACGCGAACGGTGAGCAGTCAGAGTCTGGGCACCAGCTGCCAAATCTAATCCTTGTCATGGTCCTCCTCTTCCCACCCCCACTTCCCCCCCACCCCCAATCTCCAGTGCTCTGGGAGGGGGTTGGAGAGGATGCTTCTAGCTCGGTGTCATCTACATAGAAGGGGAAGATGCGTGATAGCCACTCCGTTCTCCCCTTCAGGCCCTGAATGTCAGAGTTAATTCTGCATTTGTGGGGTGGGGGCAGCTATTGAGAACCTAGACTACTGTGAAGCTGGAGGGGCGGCAAGTCGAGGTGATTCGGGTTCAGTGTCCTCGGGCTCAACTTTCCTCCAACGCCCTCGAGCAATGAAAGGAGGGAGGTTGTTAGTCTTCAGCCTGAGCCCCCTTTCCAGCCTCCTCTTGCCTTCCCCTCCTCCCTTGCCCCCTGATTGACTGGGAAGAAGGTCCTTAGTGGCATCCGGAAAATTCTAGGATTGCCCAGTTTCACCCTTCACGCTGTGGGTGAAGCGCACACCCCTACACTTGCAGGGAGGCTGGGTCTTGGAATCTGAGGGAAGGGGGTCGGATGGAGCCAGTATTCCCGCTCCTTGCGCCTCCAGTGCGCACGTTGGTAACCTAGCAATGCCCGGGGAGTCGATGCCCCTGTGGGCTCCCCTCCTCGGTCCGGGTCCGGCACCACGTGCAGTTTCCACGCGGACTGGGGTTGGGTCGAAGGGGGATGGAGCAACTCCTGGCCATACCC